GTTAGAAGAAATTTGGGTCCGTTAACGGACCCAAATTTCTTCTATACAGACCCCTGTATTGGGACCATATTTCCCAACCTGCCGCTCTACCTGAGAGACCTTATTTTGAGAATCAGAAATCCAAATCCGTCGAAAAAAATAAGTCATTTTTATACAGAGAAATTAAGCTTTTGTGTCTGATTTCGCCATTAAAAATATCGTCTGCACTAATTGATTAGTATATTTGAGGCGATCAAGATCATCAAGATTGAGTCCTAGTTAATGAGTGAAGGTCCGATAATTAGATCAAAAGTTAACCAGCTTAATTCGTTTTTTTTTCCGCACTACACTTTATCATTTCCTTTTATTTGATTTACTTACAATAAATCTCCAGTTGTAGTCACCATTTGTTGGCAGAATTTTTTTAAAAATTTTATTTCAGAATGTTCTATTGCTTCTTCAAATTTTTATCCTGAAACAGCTTGTATTGTATGTAATGCATAAAAATTCAAATTCTTTTTAAGGAATTACAATTGGAATATGTTAGTCATTAATTAACTTTAAGGAACTATAAACCCAGAAAGATACTTATCTTTAACGTGAATTCGTAAAGAAATTCCTCCACGCTCTAACGCTAACACATGGGAATCTTTGAAGCATGAACACACGTTAAACATTAATGTTCGGAGAAAGAAGTGTAGCATTACACATTTCACTGAATTTGAAAGATATAAACACGACTTTTTTTCAATGATAACTATGTACATTTATCGTAGAATCCCGGACGCATGAATAAAAAAAAATTTCCACGCGTGTGCCATGCAATTCCAGAGATACTTATGAGGATAAACATTAAGTGGAGACGAAATAGTTCCTTAAGCATTGTGTTTTGATTACGTATTGTAGTCATTCTAATCTAGTGGACAATCGTTGTTTCTTTTTCTGTTCTATTTTATAATTACTTATCTTGTTTTAAAAATATTTATTTCATATCTATTTTTTATATTTTAATAATTATCTTTTTTTACTTTTTAATTAATAATCAAAATTTAAACGTGTTTAGATTACACAGTATATAAATGAATTTAGATAGATCAGATATTAAGTAATCGAAATTATTTTTGCATCCACCTGATACAATAAGACAAACATATCAATAACTTTCAAAAAAAATCATTTTAGATAATTTTTTACAAATTATTTTATAGCAAAATTTTGCTAAGATGTGTAAAATTCAAAAGCTAACTTCAGAGTAATTCTTACAGAGAATATGAATGCAGCATTATTTAATAATACTTTAACATTTAGATCAAACAAGCTTAACCTCGTATATTTTTCATTGATGACGCAGTTTTTTTTTGGACAATCATAATAAATCCATAACAGTTATTGTCATTTTATTACTTCTAAAAGTTATTTCCTTCCTTGCGAACGAACATTCCCAGACTATTTTTTTTATGGACCATGCTTTTTCATCTTCATGACTATCACTGCTGTTGATACAGCTTTATTTCGACCATGTTCTTGAATTTCATACTTTCCTCATTAATTTTAGTATTAGCGGATGCGAATTTAATATTTCAGATAGTAAGTGTAAGTAAACAGGAAAATCCGCTATAAGAAGGAACGAATGATAATTAATTTGTAATTGGTTCGAAACCTAAAGTCGCAGGAAAAGTAACACCTAGAGAAACTTAACATGTAATTAAAAAAAAAAACTCAAATAATTTTTGTTTAAGTAAGGAATGCTGTATTCAAATATGTTATTTATTTTTGTATGGCTTCAGAGTTATTCAATTAAAATAAAAAGAAGAAAAATGTCACGTTTTGAAGGAGATATTCCCAGCTGATCAAATAAGCGTGAAATTTAAAGGTCAAATATGTTTTTTTTTAAAAATAACATCAGTTAAACTAAAAATCAATTATGAAGAAGTGTTTAGTAGTGACCGTTCGTAATTAAGTTCATAATCCTTATCAAAAGTGAAATTAAAAAAAAAATTAGAGATTGCATATTAATAAGTAAGAAAAAAAAAATTCAACCGAAATTAAAATCCAACTAATAACTACTAAAAAGTCGGGATATTAAATATAACAATCTGTTTGATTGCTCTGTGCAACTAGCAGGTGTTTCGAATTAATCGAATTTTGACAGTTTCTTCAGGCTATCACACACGTTTCGCTGTTTACAGTCCAGCCTCGCCTTCTTCAGTATTGATTCACTAGAATTCAAAAGTATTTTTGCTCCTTTTCCTTGCTTAAATATTAATTTATGACCTCTAATTTTTTGTAGCTTCATTTTTTACAAGGATTCTAATCATATATGAAGATCAAGGAGTAAGAATGGTTTAGGTTCATGAAGGGATGATTCCGAAATGAAAACAAATTTCATGGCGAACAAGAATCGTTTTTCCTCAGCAAGGCCCATCTTCACTTTTTAATAACCCTCGGGATCGTTTCATTTTATTGATTTTACAAAACTTAACTGTCCCGCAGTGGACTGATCGTTAAGACACGGTTCCCAGCAGATCACCGAAGTCAAGCATCACTGGCTACGGTCAGTGTGCGGGTGGGTGACCACTTGGATCAGTCTGCGTAGGGACCGAGGGTGTGCGGTATTGGTCCTCGTTAAACTGTGCTACCGTAAAGTGCTCGACTTCGCGCGCAGGTCGTCGGGCTACCGAAGCGGGGGTGCCATCCCTTCCGCAGAGGATCAAAATTGTGATGGCATGTCTTCGGATCATCCTTCGGGATGTTTCCCAGATCGTCGCCAATAGCCCACTGTGCAGCTCTAGTGCGACGTAAATTAACAACAACAACAAAACTTAACTATATTCAAAAGGTAACCGATGATAATCCAATCATTATTTTTGTCAAAAAATGTACATAAACCGTTTTACCTCTTTGATCTTATAAATGGTTGTTGCACTGTGCATTATAAACATCGCTACTTAATTTGTTTTTTTTTTCTGTCCCCGAGGCACGATGATAGTATGATGTACTCAATAAGCTTAGTTAAGCCCTTGATTCTAAACAAAAATGTTACTACTAAAGTTAGTGAGAAGTGAAATAAAACAGGGTCATTGTTTCTTACTTCCGGATGATGAATGAATAAGCTTCCACTTGTCATTTACCGAAATGGCAGGCGACGGTGAGAGAAAAAAAAAAGAAAGATATAATGGCTTGTAAAAAGCAAATACTTGGCACAGACACAGAGCCCTGCGACATCTATTAGAGAGAAAAAAAAATCAAATAACACATGCGTTCGTTAATTTTTTTTCTTTGTGAATTTAAAACATAAACAAGAGGAAAAATAGTTCCTCAAAGGATGAAGACACATCACTTACTTGTCTACAGGAAATCCATCAATGATCAACGAGTTACAGGGAACTATCAATAGGAATACGTTTCTATATTGAGAAGTGAATATTAATCTTCCAATAAGAATGGTGCAAGCGACAATTGATTGATTTATTCCACTCGGTGATATACTTCAGCCTCTGGCTTGGACATTGACGAAGGTTTGTTAGAAATGCAACTTATTTATCAAGCTAATATAAAAAATTTAAACTAAGAAATCCAAAGATATTTTTTTTTCTTCACCCCAAATTCAATTTTCATTTGAAATTTAAATTTTTTCCACTTGTAATTTTTCAGTTATATTCTTTATTTTACTTCCTAGATTTTATAGCCTTCTATAATCATTGCCCTGTCAGCAAAAATAAGTAAATCACAAATCCTTTGACTCCCAGTTAGATCCTTCCGTAATATTTGAATGACTCCTAATTTTAAGTCACGGTGGTCGCAAATATTACCAATAACAAGTCTTGAATATTTTTTTTATGTTTTGATTTGTTCAAATTTTGAAGTTCTTGTTATTTTAATTATAAATTAGTTAATCGTGCTATAACTTCAGAATACTTTGAGCCCCCAGCAAAAGTCAAAACAATCAGAGTAGGTAAGTGGGAGTAAAAACGGTTTCACAATTTCTATAATAAAAAAAATTATAATCAGACCAAAATATTGTGAAAAATAAATAAACAGAGAAAACAGTTCTCATGATACAAATGCATTTTTATGAGGTGATAGCGGCTTCACTGGATAAAATATACACACGTAGCAATCGTGGAATTTTAACAGCAGGCAGAAATAAATTGTTCAAGTAGTACAGCATGAATCAGATCCTGCGTGCATTACGTTGTTTCGAGAATACCGAATCAACAATTTCTGAGACGACCTCTAAGTAAGGTGTTTTTGATCGTGATACAAGTGTTATCACTAAAATAATATTCTGGACTGCCAAGAAATGTTTCACGCGCGGCACGACTGTTTTATCAGGTGTGGCTGCTTTGCTTGTAGCATTGGAATTCAAAATTCCGATTATTCGAAAAAAAAAATTCTTTTTCTCCCCCTCAAGTTTTTTATTTCACTAAATGGGACGTGCAAAGCAAAAAAAAAAAAAAAAAAAAAAAAAAAAAAAANAAAAAAAAAAAAAAAAAAAAATAAAAAAAAAATTGTTTCTTTAGTAAGCAGTAATCCCTGAAAATATCAACCGTCATTGCCAAGTACAGGACATAAATTACATATTTTTTCCAACGCAAAGTGTTTGGCACATTAGGAAATGGTGTCGATCCTCTTATTAATTTGAACAATGGAGTTTTAAAATGAGGAATTAATTTTGAATGAAGCTATAGCATTAAAAAGATGCAAAATTAAACTACTCAAAATTCCCAGGTTAAGGAACTTAATCTTTCAAAATTTCATAATATCTGTAGTAATAAATAAATAAAAGAACATTTATTTGAAATTAAAAGCTTGGATGAGAATTATTATATTTTGGGTTCAAAATAAATATCAAATGGATTTAATCGGCTTTAAAATTAAACGTCTCAAATGAGCTGTAAATTGGTTTTGGTTTTAAAATCAAAGGCTTAAAATATTGTGCTGTAAATTGGTTTTAAAATCAAACGTCTCAAATACTGTGCAAAAATTGTGTTCTGAAAAATTCTATCATATAAACAACACACTTTATACAACAGTTTATTAAACTATTTAAAATGTCAATTAAATTGCCGGTTAAAGAAGAAAAAAAGATACAACGTTCAGAAATAACTTACAATACAAATACATTGCTATAATTCTAAACAGCAAGTACATGGAATTGTAAAAATAATACATAAGCTCTTATAAAGAATAAAACATAAAAATATAATAATGATTTTTAAAACTATGCTTATAAATATTTGTGAAGTGTTTAATATAAATGTATGTACCAAATGCAAGTCGACCATTTTTCTTTGCACAAATGTTTGAATAAATAGTTTCAAAAAGTATACAAGTGCTTGTAAGCTTGAACTCAAATCTTAAAATAAATAGCTTCGAATGCATCCCAAAACATAGCAAAGATCAGAACTTACACAAATGCAATGAAAATGGCAAAGATTACGGGGAAGTATCATAGAAATATGGGCATAAGCAGGTAAAATATTGGTCCCCAAAAGTGGTAAAAGCATAACCTTTTCAATTTTCTCAAAGAAAATGAGTTGATACTTACTGCATCGGCAGAATTATTTTAAACTGAGCAAAACATCATTTGTAAGTTAAAGATTGATAAGTACGCAAGTTATATTGTTATAAAAAATAAGTACGTAAAGTATGCAAATGAGCTAGTAAAATTTTAAAATTAGTACATTAAGTCCAATTTTATTTTTAAAAATAAAACCGTTTAGTTCGAGAACAAAACAATCGCTTATGCACTATTGCTAAAGATATTTTAATTGATAGCATATATTGACATAAAGCTTTAATTTTTAGCACCATGAATTAGGCACACAGAAAGCTCAAACCTGTAAATTTTTTTTAAAAAAAGTGATAACTAATAAATAATCATGAAAAGCTGTTAATTTTGTTAAAATTTAGAAAATTATACAAAAGAAACGTGCGTTACACATGGTGCAAATCTTAATCTTGCTTTCACAGTGAAAACTTAGAAGTTTAAAAATTAAAATTATGAACAAAATCCAACAAAAAAATAAAGTATCGAAAGTAAAACTAACATAAATACTGAGGCTGACAACAATGGTTAATATTTTACTAAATCATGAGATAAGTTTTGAACCATGAACTGTTTTGTATCTCACAATTCCAAATCCAGTTTTTCTTTATATTCGATGTAATTCCGCAAGTCACGTGAATTCTTGCGGGAAAAAACCCCATTTATTTTAATCATTTCATAGGTGATAGTAAAGGAAAAAATGGGCTTGAAAGCCACTGTGAATTGATGATAGGGGTAGAAATTATTAACGGACAAACATCTTTTTAGAAGGAGGCACCAAATGGTCGGGCAATTCGAGTGGCAAATCGTGTCCGTTTAATTTAACACTAATGAGGTGCATAGCTAAAGCAAACTCGTCTGAATCTAACATGCCATCCTTGTCCAAGTCTGATAATTTCCACACTTTACCTAGAACACTATTTGGTAATTTCGATTTCACCATTTCTGCTTTGGCACTGGCACCCGTTATTTTGCCATCAACAGGATTCAAGCTGTGGAAGAGATCATCATACTTGTACCGTTCTTTCCCAACGATCCATTCTGGATCCATAGATCCAGCATCCACGCCCTCGCCTCTCCCATATGTAAAAGGACTCGATTCAACGCCATCGAAAGCACCTCCTCTGACGTGGGACTCATCATTTGTTTGTAGACGCTGCTCTTGAGGAATCTGGGCCATTAGACGAGCAATGTCTTCAGCCAGCATTTTATCCACTGTCTCCAGCAATCTTGGCTTCAAAGGTTGAAATTTTGCGAAGTCCATGGTGAGCAGCTTTTCTTGCATATCTCGAATGTCCGGGAAGTCACCAGGAGGTAGGTGGTGTTCTCGCTGAATCTCTTCATAAATATTCCGCAAGTTTTTGATAAGTTCCTTCTTTTTACTGTCCTTACCGAACATTGAGGGCATATTATTACGTAGAGAACTGATAATGTAAGCGTGGACCTGAAAAGATACAAAAAGTTTTTGAGTACCACAGAAAGATACTGCGTAAAAATTTGCACAATTTAAGGAAAAAGAATTAAATAACATGTTATTGGTTGTATAAGGCAACGGTTCCCAATTTTTTTCACCCTAAATATTCGAGTTTCTGTTGGCAAACCCCGGAATAATAGAAAAGTTTCTTAATAGCTGTGAATATATTGACCAAAAAAAAAATTTTTTTTTTGGTGTTAGTAAATGAGAAAATTATTAAAAATAAGCTGAATTATGGTTTTCAAAAAAAGAATTGCTATTAACGTTCAGAACAGTTATTTCAGCGAGACGTAATTCTTTTTTCTTGTATTTAATAATTTTATTATCAATGAGAAGCTCTTATAAATGTATATTCTTTTCATAATTTATTCAATTTATCGTTATTGAAAAGAATTTTTTTTTAAATTTTCTACTTTTTTTATTGGTATTATAGATAAATAGTTTCATATAAACAATCGAAATATTACATAAATTATGGATTATTGATTGGATGTAAATATTACTACTTAAAAAAACTCTCGAAACTCTTGAGATCCTTCCCTCGGAAAGTTAAGGTTCCACGGAACACCTTTTAGGGACTGCCAATATATGGTTTCAATACTCCTGTATGTATTTTTTTTTAAACGGATGAAATCAATTTTTTTAAAATCGATCTACAATACATACAACACAATTTCAAAGAAGGAAGTCAAATCAGTTGGTTTGTTTTGAAATTTAACACCTTCCGTCCGAATAGCAAAGTATTAATTACACGAGGTTGTGAATTTCATCAAATGTAGTGGAAAAGTTTTAAAAGTGATGTAGATAAGACAAGTTTTTGATCTAACCAAATATTTAAAACGAAACAATATTCATTATTAATTGATTAACATAAATTGTTCATTTTGATTTTTCTTCTTCTGAAGTCTCATAATCATCCGATACGAATCAAACAATGGTGTTTAAGTTAACACGAAAACGATTACGAATTTTAAAAAAAATCTACAAAAGCTCATGAGTATCACAGATTTTTTTAACCCATTCCTTTATGTTTTAATTACTAGTATTAAATTTAGACACAATTAGACAAATTTACACACTCAGCCAATTAATATAATTTCTAAGTAAAGGGATTAGGAAAAATTAAATTTCAGTTAAAATTAATTTTCTCAGCCGTACAATAACATTTTTTTTTCACTACATTAATACAACTAATTTTTTTTTTTTTTTGAAAATAAAAACTCGTACAGGGCGATTTTATGTTCTTTCTTTATTATCATCCGTCTGATAACTGAAGGAGAAAAATAATAATCATATTACGATATAACACATTCCACACCAGTAAGCAAAATGACGTAAAAGTGTCAAAGCAATGCAGCATCGAAAAACGAAATAACTTACAAGTACGATTTAAAACCACGACTTACGTCACTAAATGCCATCGAAATAAAAAAAGAAAATGATTAAATGAAATTCAAATGCGTTACGTAAATATGATGTTGCAATTCTTTCAAATGTATCTATTGGTGAATGCATCATATGTACTTACTTTAGGCAAGTATAATAAGTACACGCTAACCCGATTACCGAAAAAATTGATTAGATTTTTTTTTAAAAAAGGAGAATAGTGTGATACTCCACAAAAGAAAATTTTTTGGGAGGGGTTTTAAAATTGAGGTTTTTAATTTCAATAACTATTTCAAGAAAGATAATTTAAATATGATATTTTTTACTACGCAGATACTATTAAGGATTATTAGTGCACAATATATACGAATTAAGCAATACTTTTAAACATAATAATATTTAATTATTAAAATGCAAAAAAAGATGATAAAAAAGAAGAAAATCAAAATTTTTCAGAGCTATGACGCTAATTAAACTTTGAGAGTAGCTAGAGCACTCAAATTTAAACTACTGTTCTGTGCTGAATGACAGTCTATCAGCTTTTATATATATTCTCCTCTTACATTATTTGGTTTAGTTTAGCTTAAGTACTATGGCATTGGAAAGTTATTGATTTAGTTTAATACTTTGGCAGGGAAAGAAAACCAAATAATATATTTCAACTATAATCACACTTCCCACCACTTTTCGATATGCTAGAGCACTTAAAGTTTAAAATGGTGTTTTGTGCTGAATGGCAGTCTCTTAACTTATATACATATTCTCTTATTATATCATCATATCTTATTATAGTTAATCTACGTATCCAGGGCATTAGTGCATGCATCATGTGTAATTTAGATGAATGTAACATATACATACAAGCCCAATTAAAAAAAAATTGATTTGATTAAAAAAAAAAAGAATAGCGTGATACTATAACTGGATATAATCTTCTGGGAGGGTTTTTAAAGTTGAAGGTTTTAATTTCCATAAATATTCAGTAAGATAATAAGAAAATTTGAATCGGACATTTTTTACTACGAAACTATTTTTAAACATACTTATTGAACTAATTCCAAAAATTAATCAATAGTTTTAAATTTCTTAATATTTTATTCAATAAATAANAAAAAAAAAAAAAAAAAAAAAAAAAAAAAAAAAAAAAAAAAAAACGCCGAAAATAATTTTTTTTTAATGCTAAATGTAATGCTAATTGAATTTCCGACCACTTTCTGATTAGCTAGAGTAGCGGTTTCCAATCTTATTTTTGGTATGGAACCCCGAGCCCTAATAAATAAATTTCATAAGCAATTATGAATAATATTGAATGAATGTAAGAAATATGAAATTCTTTCATCGTATCGTTTTATCAGTACTAGTATTCAAATTGGGTTTTATGTCAGAAAGTTGAACAGGTCTGGAGCGGCATTTAGTCTAGTTCATAATTTGATTTTGTGTATGCATAAACTGAAAATGAAATAAAAATATAGTTTTCGTTGAAATAAAAATGAAAATTGGAGAAAATAAATGTAAGTAGTAAACGGTAACGGTACATACTTCTTCATTTTTATTTGAGACGAAGTATTAATGCAATTTCCCATAAATGCATTCATTATTCATTCAATATATTATGCTAGAATTTTTTTTTTCTTTTTTAAATTTTACTTTTGTTTCAACACAAGTATTTTACATGAATAATTTTATAAAAGTAATGGAAAGATAAGGGATAAAGATATAGTAATAGGTTTCGAAAGTTGCAATAGGTTAAAAATGTTCTAACTCTCGGAACCCTAAGGTTTTTCACAGAGCACTATTTGGGAACCGCTGAACTAGAGCACTCAAATTTAAACTGGTGTTCTGTGCTGCATGACAGTCTGTTACCTTTCATAAATATTATCTTATTATATCATCATTTACTTTAGTTTAGCTTAAAGTGCCAAAATAGCATTGAGAAATTGTTGAATAAATACTAAACTTCGGCAGGGAAAGAAAATCAAATATATTATATTTCAACTATTTTCACAAGAGTAAATATTTCCCAATTCAATAGCGATGATTCAAATTCTGAAAATAAGACCGGTAAAGCAAAGCACCCACTATCAGAATTTTTCTTTCTCTTTTAATTCATTGTAGATATGAAAGGAGGGGATAAAGTAGAAGAAACTATCAGATTAGTCATATCTTTAAAGTTGGTAAATAAGGAAAGTGGAGGGAGAAAGTAGCAGCGATAAAAAACTTAACCGAATATCGCCTTATTTTAAGAAATAATTCTATAAGACTTGCGAATTGTGTTATTATTCTAATGGACTTCTAAATTATTAAAAATACCATCTATATTGTTAGGTTTTTAGCGAATACATCATACACATTTAATATCTCATTGCATTTTTGCAGCAGAAATAGTATTAAGTAGTAAATTTATTCGGCGAAAAGTAAAACATTCATTATAATAGAAAAAAATACGAATATACTTAAAATTTTTTAATAATAATATTATGAATGCGGTTATGAATGTAATATGATAGAAAACTCATCCTAATATTCAATTACGTGCTGTACTACTTTCTCACGCACCGCTCTCAAGTCATAAATTGATTACCGTATAAATATATATATATAAATAGGCTATTGCTCGAAAATATTACTCGTCACCATGACAGTATGCACTATGTTTATGTTTAAAATTTCTATAGCCATTTTAGAAGGGATTTATTTATACAATTACTTAGTAACTAAATTTTTATTTCTATAAAAATGCAACAGCATTCCAAATACTTAACGTATAACTAATTATTGAACACTATTTAAATTATTATTTAAGAAAACCTAGCGAAACGAATCTAAATAAATACTTAAAGTATAACTAATTTTTCAACACTACTTAAATTATTACGTAAGACAACCTAACAAAATGAATAATAACTATAGTGTTGCCAATAGATAAGAGAAATACCCGAGTTGATATGTCATATAAGATAAATTATACGTCTAGATTAATGATAAAAAATTAAGTCCACTTTTTAAAATATTTAAATAAACAAATTCCAAATAAATAAATAAATTATAGAAAACAATAAAGTCATTGTGAAATGCCATTTTTTTTTTAGAAATAAGAAAGATTGAATGACGCAGAACTTGAAGACGTCACTGGGAAGTAAGAAGGGATAGTATTTCGAAAACTCCATTAAACCAAGGCTTGTCTTGAAATAATTTAAGACAAAACGAATTCATTAAGTATACATGGAAAGACAATTCTTTTTTTCGTCAGCAAATATTAAACAAGAGATAAGGGATGAATATTTAAAAGCAGATTAACTCAATTAAGCACTACAGACAATCAGTAAAAAAATACTTCAAGGTAAAGAAACTTAACTATTTTTTAAATTTTTTTTTACTGCGTGGATGCAATTTTAGTCCTAACACTAGACGCACACAGAATTTTTATTAAACATATTTTTCATTATTTGGTATAAATGTAGGGCAAAACAAATGAAAAATATTATATTAAGCATTTTAATAATTTATGGTCATAAAATACAGCATGAAACACAAACAACGGTGTCTTGTGCTGTGTTAAAGGTAAAATCTTCCAAACACCACTC